TATAACATTTTATTATTATTACAGAAGAATTTAATGATGAATTTATTGCTAACTTAATTAAAAGCAAATGGAAAATAATATTCAGTTTCTATGAATTCACCATATACAAACCTCAAGCATTATCATAGTTATTCAGGAAGTGAAATGCACACAACCCCATGAACCTCATCATAACAATAATAAAATTTTCACTGATTGTCACTGTAATATAGAGAATTAGGTTCAGCCTCACACATCCCACAGCCAGCCACAAACAGATGCCTTTTGTGTCCCATTAGTTGTGATTTCTGTTAGTCCCACAAGGGAGGTCACATTTTGACATCATCTGCTCCCCCACCAAGACCCACTTGAGCCCCACTCTCTCCCACCCAGCACCGTGCTGCACTCCAGGTGCCACGAGCCTCGCAAGTCATGGTCCCAGTTCTATCCTACACTTTTTACCCCTCACTTCCAAGATCCAGTAAGCCCAGCTGAATCAACACCCCTAAAACAGGAGCTGACAACTTCATCTCTGTGAGGGAAACTACAGAGAGTGGGCGGTTGACACCTCAAATGGCCCCAGCCTGACACCTTTGCACACACTCGTGCTGCATGGATTAGCACATCTGATCTACTTAACTGTCCAGTCGTCCATCTGTCTTTCTCGGAGGCTAGTCAAGGCCAGCTCTATCTGTCCTCTTATTAGCAGTGCACATCAAGAATATTTCCTGACTGCAGGGCACGTGAGCTGAATGAATGAATAAGGAAAAGTGGAATGGCGGCCTTTGGCCTGAGCCTTGGGTCCCTGAATCATCATGGAGACCTCCTGCTTCCTTTTTGTCATTCCTCAAAATATGTGCCTCGGAAAATCCTGAAAGCCCAGTCCTGGAAGCGTGTGGTCATCTTGGGATGAGAACGGGGACACAGACTTGGGCTGAGCATCACAAAACTCAACATACGAGTGCTCAGGACCGGGTCTCCTAGGTCCACAATCGCCCCGGGAAAGTCTTCTCCGGCCTCCACAGAATCGGGCGAGTGTCCAGCGGAGGAGAGAGCCCAGGATGAAGGCGTTGAACAGATGTGCCTGTGCCTCAGCAAATAGGGAGAGGGGAGTAGGAAAGCAGGAGAGGCGGCCCAAAGAGGCTCCCGTGGGCGGCAGGCGGGGGCAGGGCGGGATTGTGAGGCCGAGGTGTCCACAGCCATGCCCAGGGCTCTGCGGTGGCGCAGCGGACCTCAGGATCGCGCCTTCTCGTCTTCCCAGACATGCCCTCCTGTCCTTACAGCCTCAGTGACTTTCATCCTCCTTGTAGGCGTTCATAGAAGCGAGAAGTCTGGACAGTCTGTGTTGTGTGCACCACAGGCCTCCAGGAGGCGCCGTTTATGAAGCGTCTGGGTGACAAGGCCGCTGTGGGTCGCCTGCAGTGGCCCGGGAGGCTGTCTAGAAGTCTGTCAGCATTCTTTCCCAGTAGAAAGGAGGGGGGAAGGAAGGCAGCTTATTGGACCCATTTAACTCCAAATTCCTTTCCATTTGTCTTCTGATCTTGACTTGGGGAGCAGCTGATTTTAGGGGGAAAGGAACTACTACTAAATGAGGAAACATTGGCCCGGAGCCCCTGCGGTGATGCGTACTTTGTTCTGTTTGTGTTTTGCCCAGGCTCACACCCCTCCTGCTGAGACGTGCTGCCAGCAGAACCAGCAGCAGTGCCCCTCCCCCAGGTGCCCTCCCAAGAGCCCAGCACAGTGCTTGCCTCCAGCCCCCTCTGGCTGTGCCCCCAGCTCCGGGGGCGGCTGCTGCCTGAGCCACCACAGGCACCGCAGGTCCCACCGATGCCGGTGCCAGAGCTCCGAGTCCTGTGGCGGTGGCAGTGGTCAGCAGTCTGGGGACTCCGGCTGTGGCCAGCAAGGCTCTGGGGGCTGCTGTTGACCTGAGTCAGGAGATTAAATAAAAACATTTGAAAAAAGAAAGCTCCAAAATGACTGGAACCAGCCCCAGCGGGTGCACCTTGTTCCCGTGGTCCCCTCTTCCTGCTGAGAAATTCCTTGGAGGTTTCCAAGTGCTCCCCCAGAAGGATTATCCTGCTGGTTGCCAGGAGCTCGGTGGTCCCCAGCTCCTCTTTATGTCCTTGTGGACTTGTGGAAAAATAAAGCTTGTCCTTCACATGGCAGCCATTGTCTAACATGTCTGTGTGTCTGTCCAGCATTGAGTACAGAACCCTGTCTCAGGGACAGGAAGCTGCTGGCTCGTACTCCCCTCAACTCACACGAGGCCTTAGGGGGTGCGTGTATTAGGACAGAGGTGGAGTAGGGAGGAGTAATGATGGGGACAAACCAGTGAAAGTCTTGNTTAAAGATTTATTTTCACTGAGGTAATGCATTTTTTCCTTGTTAAACTGCACGTACTCAAACTGCATATATTGGTGATGGAAAATAAACTCGGGGCTTCACCATCAGTGAAGACCGACAGCATCAGCAGTCGTGTGAGTGTGTCTCTTTCTTTAATTCCCGCTCCCCCCTTCAGGTACTGATCGACTTGTGGCGGCTGGCCCGTCATAATATGACTATTTATAGGCTGGAATGTGGGTGAGGGATGGGACAGTGAGGTGGCAGCGCCAGTCCTGCCACTGCAGAGTGAGTCCCTTGGGGCTTTCCCTGGATATGCTATTTTTAGAAGGAGAGGCACTTTGGCTCCTGTTGTTTTCAGCTTTGCGGCTCTAGCCTAAATCCTTACAAAACAGTATGTGTGCCTTCCAAATCCTGATAGAGCTTGATGCAATCAGCAAAATTTTCAGCAAAAGTGGCCCAGTGTTTATATACAGTAATTAGGACCCGGAGAAGAACCCAGGGTAAAGCATCCTTAAATTGGAAGCCAAGGCAGATTTCCAGGCTCCCGCATTCCACCGTCTCTATAAATGATTCGACCGCATTGCACAGCATATGCATGGTCTTGGTGGTGAAGGGACAGATTGATTCAGGAAAAGGTGTTTCTCATGTGTTTGTATGTGCAGTCCTTGTTTGGATAGTTAGTTTGTCACTGACGCATCTTAGTCAAGATGCACTTCCTGGAGTTAAATCTGCAATGTTTGCTCTTTGCCTCTAATTCACTATTCCATTTAACAAAGACAACATAGTGACTGGAAGGAACATTAAAAAAAAAAAAAGATCTGCAATATTGCATTGTATTTTTCTTTATGCCAACTGGCATAACCAGATGACAAACTTTCCAAAGGTTTAATCAGCTAAATCAGGTTCAATCTTTTCTGTGTTTCCACAGACCCCAGAGTATCAGGACCACGATGGATGAGTCCTCGTGTGTTTTCCAGCCCGAGTTGTCCTCAGGCTGTAGGAGAAGTGACTGGTGGATGAGTCACTCTTCTGTCAGCACGAGACAACTGCCTTTCTTTCAGTCACCAACTCTGATGACCAAAAGCATGGGCCCCAGAGTGGAAAGATGGGGGGTAATTGGTGTAAAAACAGCCACGTAGGGAATCAGGACAGGATTTAGGGAAGTGACCCAGAAACCATTTGCATGTCGTAAGAACAACTCCACCAAGTGTCTCTGAGAGGTTTTAATCCTTTGGCTCTTGATTCATTTGTGTGATTTGTATCCTGTTTTGATTCTTGCCTGGCAAAGACCCAACATCACCTCCGTTTGGACTGAAAAACGGCCTGTGATTGTTCCCAAAAGCCACGGGTGATGAAAGAAAAAAAGTGTCTCGTCCTGCAGCTATCTGAGCTCTGGACTGGGTTAGCCCCCTGTCCCCCAAAAGTGCTCCATTTCCCCTCTGGGAAAGTCAACACTGTTGTGTGCGATGCTTGTCCTGCTGGCTGGTTTCTAAGCTCGCTGGGGACAGGGGCTGTGTCCCTCTCCTCCACTGCTGGATCCTTGATGCTGAGTATATGTGTCCCGCCTACAGCCGAGGCTCAAGAAATGACTTTTCAATAAAGAAACATGGGAATAAACGAGTGAGAAAGAATTCCAGAACAGGAAGCAGGGGATGGCTCAGGCCAAATCTCAGGCTTGTGGAATTGAGGAGAGCGACACAGACAAGGAGTAGCCTGGCAGAGGGGCAGGGTCCCCGACGGCACCCTCTCCCAAGGCCCAGCCTCCGTCTGCCCTTTCTCACGCCCAGCTCCACCACACAGGCGGCGTGGAGGCCTGAGCCCTTTTCTCTCCTCAGCCATGCCACCCAGTCTGCATGTTGCAAATGCCGCTTTTCATCCTTTGTAATTGTCTCTTTCTAGTATAGTATCTCCATGGGAGGGCAGAAGGGAGGGTGTGGGCACTGGGTAATATATGGGCGATGTCGACTCCAGACTAGCTCTGGGGCTACATCAGAGCATGGCGCCTTGGGGGCCCCATTCTGCAGACCTGAGTGTGTTCCTGAAGTCATGCAGGCCTGTCCCCGCCCCTCGCTTGTTCTCCGCCCAAAATTCTCATTCCGCGCTTCACAACTCTACAGAACTCTTACAGGACCTCATGATGTCACAACTGTGGAGTGACAGGCGGAGGGGAAGGAGGAACTCACCCCCTCCTACGATGTATTTTGTGCCAAAGAACAAGTAACTGATCCTACAGGCTTTTGTATGCTCTGATCAAAGTAGTTTTTTGTTTAAAAACTACAGTATAATTTAATTTCATGATTATTAGAAACANCGGGAAGAGCGCAATGATAATACCAACATGGGCCAGTGAAGCAACGTCCTCCACAACTAGACTAAAGAACAAAAGGACGGCAACTTGTGTGTTCCTCTTCCCCGATTCCCCAATAAAACCTTTTAAAAAAAAAAAAGAAGAAGAAGAAGGCCTAATCTCATCCGGGGGTTCAGATTGCTGCAAAAATCAATAGTTTTTCTCTTTGGCTTGTGGTTCAATAGAAGCAAGTCCTTTGCCCTTTTTGGTCCAGATGGGTACAGTCCTGAGTCGTTAGGTGACAACAGCTGAAGAGTAACCTCAATCTCAGCAGTTGGGTGCGTTCCAAAGTTGCTGGGGAGAGTCACCTGCCCTCCCTTAAATGCAGTGACTTCTGTCTGGCATTTCTAAGCCCTGTCCCTGGTCCCTTGTCTTAGGGTGTCCCTGCTTTAGTCCTGGAGTCGTTGCTCACTGATTTTGTATCCACCTCAGCGAAGAGCACCTTCTTTACAGCCCGTCCCGTTTCTCACAGAGCTGCTGCTCCACAGGCCTGCAGACCGAGCAGGCGTCCGCAATGATGGAAGCACAGCTGTGAGGCCCTGGCCTGGTTACTTCTCCCCGACCAGGAGGGGAGCTGCTTGGGAATCAGTGCTATGAGTGGCCCGTCCTCAGGAGCCTGGCAGCCTGGAGTGTGGAGACTTCAGAGGGGACCCAGTTCATTTGTGATGAACGTCTTCTTAAAAATGCCCTCAGAGGAGCTTAATCTTAACTCATCAACACGAAGAACTGAAGCAAACACGAACCTCCTCCCCGTCATCGCGGGGACAGGGCCATGAGTGGGTAGGACTATCCAGAACAGATGTCTGAGCTTTTCTGAGAGAAAATGGGACGGAACGTGGGAATACCACCCATGCTTCTAACGTGAGGATACTGACCCCCGGCTCCTCATCCAAATATCGACTTCCCTCTTAGACGGCGTCTGGCATTTGTGGGATGCAAAGCACCTCCTCCCAGCCACTGAAAACACTCCGTGTGGGTTCAGGCTGTTACGCGATGATGGTATGTGATTTTTCTTGGTTGTAGGATTTTCGTTCAAGCCCCTATGCTGAAACCATAGCACCTAAATGTCCCAACTCCTTAAGAGAGCCCCGGAGCAGCCCCAGGTCCCCACTACGTATATTAGGAAGATGGAGAAAAGGCCCTGCTATTAACACTGTTACATGAAGGTAGGAAGCTAGGAATTTAATAAAAAATAAGAGCAGAGGATGATTTTCTTAGCAGCATAGTGGGGAGGGGAGGCTCCTAAGTCCTGTGAGCAGAGTGGACATTTCAGATGTGACCTGGATCTGGGCAGGAAGAACTGGGTGTACTCCGTGGTGACAAGAGCTGTCAGACTGGCCTCCATGACTATGTGACACTTCCCTGTGGAGATTCCAACAAATTAAGTGGAGATAGTTTGTGACTAATTAGATAGCTGGGCATTTCCAGTTACTGTGATTTGGGGAAATATATTTATTGTGATCTCATCTTAGACTCACAGGCTGAAAAAAATCAGCTGAGGGGACACATGTGTAATATCACAATTAAACCAAACAGAAAAAAAGGGTGCAGTGTACACGTGTGCAGGAAGAGAGCTGGGATGGGGGTGTCGGCTCTGTCACCCGCCCCCTGGTTGTGAAAACAGCGGCCCGCTCCGCCCTGTGTCACAGCCCAGCTCAGGATAAAAGGCCTCCCGCCCTGGGCTCCTCATCCACAGCATCCTCACAGACAGCCCTGTCCTACCGCCTCGGATCCGGTGAGTAGACACTGAGGGACGGGCCCTCAGCGGGGACAGTTGGGGAGCAGGGCTCAGGTCTGAATAGAAGCAGCAGGAAGGGGCCCATCGTGGACAGCAGTAGGGGGGGC